GTATTATGTTTGGTGCACGTACGAAAAGCGTCGAAGACAAATGGAATAAGGATCGTTTGATCAAGCGACAGAGTTAACAAACTTGATAGAACGGAGACTTGGATCAACTTACTCTTGGCAAAGGTTGTCCTCCGTTATATGGCCGCCACTCTACGTGTAAAGGCATTCAACTTCCCTCGCAAAATTTCACGTTACGAGCTATGTACGCGCGATGTCTCAATTTTTCAGCAGGAGAATCTTAACATTTTCCGTTTCACTTTGTCTATATTGTATTCAAGTTCACTTATTTATATTAATATACTTATTAAAAGTATTTAATATTAGACAATTGTCATGTTTATTTATTAACATTTATTATAATATAACATTTTCATAAATTTCAAAAAAATACTTAATATTAGTTAATTATCGTATTTATTTATAAACGTTTATTATATGTATAATATTTTCATATGAAATATTAATATCATATGAAAAATGCTTTATTTTACGTGTGACGTTGAATATGAATATTTGTTACGAAACACTTTAATTCCAATTTTACACAGGAAACGCATTTCACCAAGAACACAATTTTACATTAAAATTTCGCAAACGCAAAACATGGAAAATAGATTTACCAATAATGTTTTCAAAATCCGTTGATGAGAGTTATCGATTACTTTGATTTTTGCGTCGTCGTCGCGTAGCGCAGTTATCGGTGCTCGGCGTTCATCGTCAACGTTAGTACGGTTATCGGAAAGCGAGAGGTGATAGTTGATATCGCATTAAAGTGGAAATCCGCAAATGGAGGGCCACAGATGTTGCTTCACGTCGCGTGTATCGCCGACTGATTCGAACTGATCAAGTGAGGTTTCGAGTTGATTGCGGTCGACGTAAACCGCGTTTCGATAGCTCGAGTCGCGATTGAGATTCGTTATCTGCAATTCAACCAACCAATATTTACGAAAAAACACTACGTTAATCCGAAATATTAAAGATGAAACCATAGCCTTCCTCATTATTTTAAAAACGATTGATAAACTTATACAGGGTGGGGCAATAACTATTACCACCTCAAATATTTTCTAAACTATAAGTTTTACAAAAATATTTCTTGCAACAAAATTGCACAGTACGAAGGGGGCCGTCCAGTGATGATAATAGTTTTTCTCAGCAGGTGAATATTCAAAAATATTTCAGAATATTTTACAACTGAGAAGCCTATAAAATAACAAATTTAGATCATGTAATATCTAGTAACTATTAAAATTTCTATGCTTTGTCATTATTTTTATGTAAGGATTCATACAACCTAAACGTGTGCCTTTATGATACTGTCTTTAATTAGATTCAAATATTTCCGCTTTGAAGGAGTGTGTCGAAATGCATCATAAATTACCGTAGCGGAAGGAGATTCTCCCAGGCTTTCATGAAAATACGTATAAACCGCGGGTTGATAACGGCGACAGGGAATCACGATGAAAAGCAAAGTAGAAAAGTTACTTGGCTGTGCTCCAGCGTGCACGGGGTGAAAGAAGACCGAATGGCCGTCCAGCCACCCCCTCTCGGACAACTCTCTTTCCATGCGACGCGAGCATTGCGCCATTGCGGAACACGTTCCATCCCAGCTGTTCCCTGTCCTTCTCTCTGGATTTCTGTAACCATCGTTCGCCGTCTCTTTCTTCGATTTCCTGTTGAACGGAGCTTTCACCCTTACAATGATTATAAATGCCGGTGACCCACGTTTTGTTAGCAAATTCTATACCATACTGGCTTACTAAAGTAATTTATACGGTTTTATTTCATACTTCGTGATTATCATCAATAGAAATAAGTGATTTGGATTTTTGATAAAAACCTAAAAAATACAAGTAAAACTGAATTTTTCTTCAGCATTGAAATTATTGAATAAATTGCACTTCGTCTGTTCCCATTGGAATAATATTAAAGTGCTGACTTATCTTAATGATCGAACAAGGAGAAAAAGCGCGGGATAAGAAAATTCCGATGGTGAGAGATAAGAATTGATTGGCTGGAACTATAGAGTTAGGATATTGATTGATACGTAAAATTGTATGAAAAACAGAATTACAGTTTTTGTTTGATTCCTAAATAGGCACAGATTAAATGTATTATTTATAATCTAAATTAAAATATTGAATTAATCAAAACTTGGATTGTGAGCTAAACTGTTTAATTCAGAAGTTGAATGCAAACTCAAGACGGAATGCATGAAGTACAATGGAGCGTTTTATAATTTGCATACCTTAAATATTACACTTTGTTCTTGACGATATGTACATGCATAAGTAGTTGGAACAAGTTCACGCAGTCGAAGTTACATCCAAGTAAATTCATTGCTTGAGTTATTTATGGCCTAAGATCGGAATCTCGAATTAGTTGAAATTTGAGTTAAACGAGATCTTGATTGCTTAAGGTCGGCAAAAGTTTCCGCCGCGGGTTAAATGCGAGTTTAACGATTCCAGGAATGTATGCATCAAGTTGCAACGTAGTACTTCATACTTAGAACATTATCCGAGACTTATACATACATTATAACTTTGTAATAGCGCGATGAACGAAGTCTTAATTATATGTAAATAAATTTTTGAATCACTTATATAATTCCAGTTCTCACGATAAATATATGAGATGAAAAATTGTATTAATATAATTTGAATAAATATTCATTTACATTTTTCTACGAAGTACCGAGTGACGACAATTAAATTTACATAGAAAAGGGAAATATTCGAAGATTAATGAAAAATTATAATAATAACATTTGAAAAATGAAACTGTGACTATGTACATATAACGCAGTATCACGATCGACAAGAATCTAGATGTAGACACGTCGAAGGCGTGCAATCAAGATGCCACGTCGCATCGCCTCGGCAAACAGCGACACTGTCAATGTTTGCAATGCGACGTGGCAGTCGAATCGGCCTGCGACGCACTTAGCGCACGGTGCAGTATAGTCATAATTTGATTGTCTGTGTATTACTGGATTACACTGTAGATACGTCGTCGTTACATGTCCATACCGACTACGAGACAGCCCGGTGTACACGTAGTCGCATCACGTAATTACAGATATGTACCTACTAAGCAGATCCAACTCTACCTCCACCTAACATCGCCCTATTGTCGCACATTCAGTTTCACGTTTCCAGTAAACTTATTTCGTGAAACTAACAGGATTTGCGGCGTAATTGTTACTCAGAATTTATTGCTCGTATAATTCATCATTAATGGTGCAACCGAACGTAAATCACGTGGCAGAATTCAATAATCATATTCCATGATATAATGAAATACTTGAATTATTAAATATCTAGATATTGAAAGCAAGTTAATCTCATATGACATTACGTAATGTATAAATTAATACGTTAATACTGCTCACTTTTTATTAATCAGATTTGTATTTCCTTGTATTTCCTCAAATCAGTTGTTTCTTCCAACTTCGCGCGTGCATACCAAATACCAGAAAGTTTTCTTTGAGTTACTACTGATTACCATAAGAGTACATGCAAATTTTAAGTAACTATAATTTTTCAAAAAACCCATGAATTGATTTAAAATTTTGCAGGTAGCTTTTTAATAGTAATAGGAA